TGGAATTTTTACAAATGTCTGTCAATTCCATTTAATTCATGGTATTGTTTAGATCCTGTATCTCCTTGCTTAGTTTTTGTGTAGATGATCTGTCCAAGTGGGATAGTAGGGTGTTGGATCCCCAACAATTAGTGTGCCTTTTCCACTTGTATTTAATATAATACTGGAAGTTGCACCTAGAAAAATTAAACAAGAAAAAGAAACAAAAAAACAACCAAATTGGAGAGGAAGGAGTAAAATTTTCTGTTTGTAGGTGTCATGACCTTAGATGTAGAAAATTCAAAAGGATTGACCATAACAACAGTTATATTTAATAACAAATTTTAGCAAAATTTCATGATATAAAATTAAAACAGTTTGGGGGCCAGCCAGTGGAGTGGTGGTTAAGGTGGGGTGGATCCTACATGGCCAACTGCATGATTTGAGTACCAGATCCAGTGACTTGGAAAATACGCTGGGTGAATGTATGTGCATGCCCAAAATACTGACAGGAGAAATGGAGAAGGGACTGTGGTGTAACCATCCCCCATGGTGGGAAGTACTTTCCCACATTCTCCCTCTTTCTCAGTCTCTTTCTGGCAAGCATATATCCCCGCTAGCAAATTGGGAAAAAAAATAGTTTTTTACACATTAATAATAATCTGAAAAGTAAATTAAGAAACATTTTCTCTTTTTTTAGAGCATCAAAAAGAATAAAATACAATGATAAACTTCCAAGAATATGGGAAAGTGGAATTAAAGTATGAGTTTATTTCAGTGTAAATATTCTGAAGGTGTTTTTGCAGTGATTAAAAAAATCCTAAAATGTATATGAAAGCTTTTTATTTTTAGAAGATGTTGCCTTAGGGCATGTGCATTACCTGGAGAGAAAGAGACAACGAGAGGGAAAGTAAGAAATCACACCCTGGGGGGATGGCCACACCATAATCTTTTCCCCTCTATTCTCCTCCTAGGATCTCGGGTGCACATGCACCTGACATGATGTTTCAAGCCACTGGGTCCAGGACTAGAACTGTAGTTGGCAATGTGGGAGTCCAGTGACTGCTATGCTATCTGCTGGACACCCTATATATATAGAATCTTAAGAAACTCTAAATAACCAATATACACTTGAAAAGGAAAAGCAAATTTGAATGTCTTACTGTTTCCAGTTTCAAAATATATAACACAGCTATAGTAATCAGTCTAGTGTGCTACTTTTTAAAAAGACAGATAGACATACTAGTCAATTAATGGAATAGAGACCCCTGGAATATACCTCAGTGTACATGCTTACATGACTTTTAACAATGGGACCAAAACCATCCAGAAAAACTGAGTATCAATATGTAATAGAACGAAGCTGGCCCTCTACCTCAAATGGATCAAAATTTAACCCCAAATGGATCAAAGACCTACATGGAAGATGGATGCAGGATCACATGGTTTTCTTATTCTTCACGTAGTTAATGTGCTGTCTAACACTGATTGTTTTTTATATGTTGAACTGCCCCTGCTTTTCAGAAATAACCTGCCTTGGTCGTGGTATATTATCCTTTTAATGAATTGGTGCATTCTGTTTGATAATATTTTCTTGAAGACTGTTTTCATAAATATTCATCAGGACCCTTGGCCTGATATCTCCTTTATTTTAGTGTCTTTGTCTGGCTTTGGTATCAGGTTAACGGCCTCTTGGAATGCACGTGAAAGTGTTCCTTTCTGTTCAATTTTCTGGAAGAGTTAAAAGATGACTGGTGCAGTTCTGTATTACATGCTTAGTAGTACTCACCAGTAAAGCCAACTGGTCCTAGACTCTTCTTTGTTAGAAGGTTTTGATACTGAGTCAGTCATCTTACCAGGTATAGATCAGTTCAGATATGATTCAGCTTAGTGGCCTGTACCTTCATGGAATTTATTAATTTCATCTAGAATTTCCAATTTATAAGCATAAAGTCATTCCTGGCTTCCTCTTTTATTTCTTAATATTTATGTAAATCAATTGTAATATCTCTCCCTTCATTTCTAATTTTAGTCAAGTTTTCCCTTTTTCTTGCTTACTTTAGTTCATTGTCAATTTTGTTGAGTTTTTCAAAGACTCAATTCTTGGTTTCATTCACTTTCTTCATTTTTTTTTCCTATTCTCTATTTCATTTTCCTCCATTCTAATTTTTATTATTTCCTTAATTCCACTGAAGTGCTGCTAGCTTTTTAGAATCTTATAAGAGAAACAAAATGTAGTTATAAACCAAGGTTGGAATAATGTAAAATTATTCTCAGCCATGTGCTTGCCTTGACTTGAGAATATCACAGTTTGTATTACTTCAGATTCCTCTCTTTTTGTTTACTTCATTTTTTATTGTCCTCCTTTGGGTCCATAATTTCAAATGATCTGTCTTTGAGTTTGGTGATTTGTATTTATTTATTTTAAAGAGGTTTTTGCCTTAGGGCACATGCACTCATGAGAGAGAGAGAGATACAGAAACAGTGAGAGGGAAAGTGAGAAATTGCTCCAGGGGGCAGGGGTGGGGGGTGATCATAGCACAGTCCACTCCTTCATTCTCCTCCTGGGATCCTGGACACACACACACACACACACACACACACACACACACACTCCAGCTGTGATTTTTAAAAAGAATCATTTTATTTAACTTTACTTATTTTAATTTGGCCAGAGAGGGATAGAGCGAGAGAGAACGAGGAGAGAGAGACCAAGCCACCTGGTCTAGAACTTGAACTACAGTAGGCCACGTGGGAGTCCAGCACCCTTAACTACCACACCACCTGCGGGCCCCTCCAGGCGAGGTTTTTCAAGCCATCGGATCCAGAACTTGAACTGCAGTTGGCCATGTGGGAGTCCAGCAATGTAACTGCTATACCATCTGCTGGCCCTACTCATGTTTAATTCTGCTAATGAATCTTTCTAGTGAACTTTTTTTAGTTACTCTAATTTTTCATCTCCAGAATTTCTGTTTAGTTTATGCTTTTAAATTTTATTTCTTTATTGGCATTTTAATTTTATTTATATATCACCTTCCTGATTTTGTTTAATTGCTTATCCGTGTTCTTTAGCTCACTGAGCATATTTAAGATAGCTGTTCTAATTTTTTGTCAAGGCATTTTTTTAACGGTAGTTTTTTTTTTTTTTTTTGAGAGGTTTTTTTTTTTTTTTTTTTTTGCTATAGGGCGCGTGCGCTCGCCAGACAGACAGAGAGAGACAGAGAGATAGAAAGCAGGAAATCACCCCCCAGGGGGGATGGCCACGCTGCAATCCCTTCTCCTCCATTCTCCTCTCGGGATCTTGGGCACGCACACACACGCGCCCGGCGTGAGTTTAAGCCACCAGGTCCGGGACTCGAACCACGGTCGACTACGTGGGAGTCCAGCGACATAGCCATTACGCTAACTGCTGGTCCCTTTAACGGTAGTTTTTTCACGATTCAGAGTAAGACTCACGAGGCAGTCACCTCAAGTGGAAAGGCAAAGTTTACAGAGAGAGAGAGTGCCCACTCTCTCTGTAACAGCCAAAGCTGTGTCAGCCCCCGTCCCAAGGAGAGGGGATGTATTTACGTGGAGGAGTGGAGGGGAAGGGTCGTGAGAACCATGGGCACTTGGACGGGCTGACCTGCCATTGTGACCTTGTGCCGGTGAGGGAGGGCTCTGGCCAGGTGGTTGTAACCACCTCCTTGTTTTCTGATGGGAAATTACGTACAGGCCACTCAGAAACTGACCTAAGAGGTTTCTAGAAACTTCCTTTGTTCTTTCTAACGGCCATATTCTGTTTCTTTGCATGCCTTGTACTACTTTCTTGAGAATTGGATGCTAAAATGAACAAACAAGAAAGTCAACATTTCTCCCAGGCTCGTCACACTGGCTCATGCAGGCCAGAATACCCCCTGATCAAGGGGGTGGTGTCGGGTAGGGTCGCGTG